AAAAAAAAAAAAATGTTTCCTGAGTGAACCATTTTGGAGGTGCGTGATAAAAAGAGTCAGTACCAAAAAGACTATCAACTCGATCACCTCATGAATGCATTCATGAAAAACAACACTTCTACAGAAAAACTACGTAGATCAAGCATGTCAGTAGGATACGTGTATGGAAGCTGCAGTGACTTTATTGCCTGTTGTTAGGCAATAAAATGTAGCAGAAAGAGCTTTCAGATCGGGCACCTCGGGTCCGAATTCCAACTCTGTCACCTTCGAAGCCAGGTCACTACGGACAAGTCAGTTAACCTAAATCTCAGCTACCTCACCTGTAAAATAAGGAAAAGGTAAGGACTGCTTGATGGCACGGCTTTGTTTTGTTTCTGTTTTTTGAGAAAGAGAGCCAGGGAGAGAGAGACAGAGACAGAATCCCAAGCAGGCTCTGCACTGACAGAACGGGGGTCTGAACTCACAAACCACGAGATCATGACCTGAGCCGAGATCAAGAGTGGGACACTTAAGGGACTGAGCCACCCGAGCGCCCCTTGGTCACACTGTTTTATTTAATGAGACAGTGTCTGTCAAGTGCCTGGCACTGAGCAGGCTTCTAAGGCTGTTAATAAACGCCGGTCCCTTTCCACCCAAAGAACACTGCTAAAAAGTGCACGGTCACATATTCTGCATTTCGGAAGGAAGACTTATTTACCCCTCTTCCAAAACCTTGACCACACCCTAACTATCCCAGCCAGCCATCTTGAAGATGAACTAGGTCATAAAGAAGGTTTAGCAACCCCTCCCAAAAAAAAAGAATGAAAGAAAAGGAAAAAGCAAATCATCTCAACACAACTTCATCACTATAGTTGAACACAGTTTACAATACCTGCCCTGTCCTACTCATAGCATCATCTTGGCAAATAGAAAACAAGTCTGAGTAGTGTACATACGGAATGTAATGTAAATAGTGAAGCCTTGGAATGTAGGTTCCTGAAGGGAATGAACTTAGTCATGGATCTACTCCATAGAGCAGTGAACTCACTGTAATGTGCTACATAAACAATAAACAGCAAGGAAGTTAAAGACAGGCTGTACTTAGCACAAGAGAAGAAAAGGGTAAGAATTCCAGCTGATCTATGAGAGGGACCAGAAAGTACACATAATGTAAAATCTGAAGCTTCCAGGCTGGTTATATCAACCTCTATTTTCCAGAGACCGTATTCTCACACATTTCCATTTTGTTAAGAGATAAAACTCTGCCTTACCTGATTTCCTAATTTAGCCTGAAAGATCACTGTCTTACCTGTTTTCACCCTGAGATGTATGTTTGAATTTTCAGCAATATGAATGTATTACTTTCTATACTCTCTAACATTCAAATGAATGTCCCCTATCATATCTGTGACAAGAGTTTCCACCAAGAGAATAACAATACAAGGCAAAAATTCTGGAAATGTCTTGAGACATTGTTCACTTAATCCCAGAATTAAGGAAATGGATTAACAACAACAACAAAAAAGAAACTTAAGATTTTTTTTCCCCAAAAAACTTTGTTCTAGCTTCCACTGAGAGTATATTAACAGCTACCGAACGGTTCCTCTGCGTTCAGGCCACCTAACTGTCGAATATAACTTTATGTTGATTTAATATTAGTAAATTTAAGTTTTCACATTTATTTCAATATTCTTTTGAACCTGAAAAATGCTTTTCTGATCTCCTCCCACAATGATTACATTTGTTCCTCTGTGGTCGCAATAAAGTTACAACTTCCTCAAGAACTGGGTAAAGTGAAGTACCACCATTCAGATTATACGGTGCTTCATTTGTTTGAAAACAATTTCTTGGTGAAATCTCCAGTATGACGGTTTAGAGAACGTCACGAAAAAAATAATTTTGGGAAGCAAAGGACTACTAAAAACATAAACTTTTTGCCTTAAGAGACATTACCCATTAACACTGATGTCAAAGAAAGGGGACACGGGAGGGGTGGTAAAAATTACCTAAAACAGAGTGCCTCTAAGGGATCTCTTGAGAGTTACCACCCCAAGGAAGGAAACTGTTCAATATTCTTCTAATTTTAGTTACGATTACATTCCTGACGTATTTGAGAAAATAGAGTCAGTAACACAGAATGAGCCATCCTGACTTTCCAAACAGCCAAGGAGCATGACCCACAAAATTATTTGTTTTCGTTCCTAGCCGACACTTGAACTCACCTCTTGCATGCTGCATCCCTGGAGAACTGTAGTCCCTAACTAAATATATTGACTACGCTAGCTGAAACTAAAGCATGTATGTTTTATAGCACAGCCAACCTGACGGATAGCTACTTTCACTGTAGGAAAGTGTTATATGAACTAGTGAAAGAAACGAGGAGGTATGCTGAAGAGAGGGAGGCCAGCAGGGATCCTGAAGGGGAAGCTCCCAATTTGTAAAAAGGAAGGGATCGAAGTCAGTAGGATCGCAGAAAATTCCTGGTACCCTAATTGCCACCGTTTTTAGGACAACCTTATGAAATGATCTCTAAAACATCAAGAAAGGGATCTGTAAGACTCCTTCCAGAAATGATAATGGGAGTTTAAAAGTCATTTCCTTCCATTTGCTTCCTGCACAGAACACAAGTTAGAAAGGGCCAAAAACTGGAGAAAGGCAGAATGAAAGAGAAGTGTGCCAGAGGTCACTAGTACCTGTTAAATTGCAGAATTTAACTGGAATTCACTGAGCTTTTTAGATGTATATTTTGTTAAATACCAAAGAATCTGTCTGTAGGCCACCCCCAAACACAGACGTCTGTTTAATCAACTTATGCAATGCAACAGCCACACATACCTGGGATTTCAAATACTGCCTTTAAAAACACACACACCCAGACATTCTAATTCCACCCAAAATTATTTTTTTAAATCTCTGCAGTGAGGCGCGCGTGCACGCACACATTAACTTGATGTAAATGTAGCCTTTCTTGCCTAAACACCCCGAGGAAAAGAATAAACGCCTCGATGTGCTCTCCTCTTCTTCAGGCCCTAAAAGCCTCGAAAAGAAGCAAATGGAGTTCAGAATGAAGAAAGAGAGCAAGATAATACAGAACACAACCAGAGACCCACTCAGGGACCCGTTTTATTCTTGGAAAATGTCATCTCCATTCCTTCCCCAAGCCCAAAGGCCAGGCACCACTGGCGCAATACCTTCCTTGTCCAAAGCGCCAAAGAGTTGCCAACTAATCTCCCAAGGTGTCCCCCAACCTCCTCACCTCATCAGCGCTCAGCTCCTCCATCGCTTTTCTCTTAATGGTGAAAGGCGTTAGGGAGAGATCCTTCTGTTCTTGTGACCAGGGCGGGAGGAGGGTGGAAGGTGTCTATCGGGCTGTCTGGTCCCCCGAATGGGGGAGGTTTCAGAATTGCATAGTCAGAGGTTAAAAAATAAGAACACGAGAGGCACTGAACCGCCCTGGCGTCGGTCACTCCAATCGCCCCAGAGACTCCTACAGCCGCTTGTGCCCCGAGGAGCCTCCTTTGGCCGCCACTGCTGCTGCTACAGGGTTATCTTAAGGCGCCACTATTGCCCTCTGCTTCCCAGGTTACCCGGACCAGGGACTCGGGTCTCCAGCTCGTCTCGTGCCCTGAGCCTGCTGTGTCTTCGCGGTGGTGGCACGGCAGGTGTGCTTCCTCCAGCAGATCCTGCTCTCCTTCCTACCCTTTGCCCCTGGCGGGAACTGTTGGACTGCAGAACGGATGCCCCGAGGTAAGGCGACCCCAGAGCCGCCGAGGCAGAGCCCAGCACTGAAGAGGGAAGCCCCTCCCCTCCCAAAGCAGGCCGGCCACGCCCCGCCTCCACGCCGGAGCCCGGGCAGGGGGGAGGGGGAGGACGGGACTCGCGATGCTCTGGACGGAAGAGTAAATCCTCCTACCCCTCCACCCCTACTCTTACCCCCTCGCCCCACCAAGTATTATTCATCAAAACAACAGGGCGGCCATCTTTGAAAGGGATCACGTGATCCCCGCCAGGGAGGCGGGGCTTCTGGCCCCAGGACGAGGCAGCCAATGGGCCGCGGGCGTCGCGCCGCCGATTTCCTCTCGCCGGCGTCTCCTCCCGCTCCCGCCCCACCCCCTCCCCCCGCAGCAGTCCCGGAGGGGGAGGGGCGAGTGGGGGCTAAGGTGGGGGCTAAGGGCTGGCGGCGCGCGGGGGGCGGGGCGGGGCGGTGCCATGGCGACGGCGCGGGGGTGGCCGGCGCGGCGGGCGGGTCCAGGTAGGCTCCCGGGAGTGCCGGGCTGGCGGGAAGCTGGGCGTGGAGGGGACGGGGGCCTGCGCCGCGACCCCGCCGCGCTGCCGTTGTTCCCAGGCGATTGCTGTTTCGCGGCTCGGCGATGCAGACCACGTAAAGGACAACGGAAAACGTCTCCCTGCTGGGGCCGGTTCTGTAACGTATTGAGCGCTCACGTTCTGAAAAAAACCTTTGGACCCTCTTCTACCTCCGCCGAGAAAGCCCATCTGGAAGGAAACTCTAAAGTACAACTTCTATTTATTTGGCTTTTGCCTTTTAGAGAGTTTCTGCTTTGGTTTGTTTTTGGGGTTTTTTTTTAGCATGTTCCAAAGTGACGGTAAAATTTGAGAGTATAAATGATAGACCCAGAAAATTTCAAAGTGCTTGCACAGACATGAGAAAAGCTTTTGCTGTCAAAGAAATCATTCTTACTTGCACAAGAATACCATTTTTTAATCGAGATAGGCAATTATTAAAATCCTATTAGTTTTAG